CAGCGCCTCGACTTCCGCACGGAAAATGGTGTCGCGAACGAACTTGTACAAATCAGGGATGGCGACGGGATCTTGGTTAGGAACAGAAGCGTTCTTTGGGCAGAGTCGTTGACTGAAGTTGGAAGAGAATCTATCCATCACAAGCCTCAGATTCTCCCCGTTCAAGAAGGCGATGAAGTCTTTTCGTTGATGTTCCATGATTCTTCGAGATGCGTCCGGATGAGAAGTTGTGAGTCCTGCTTCGTCACGTGTCTCGAATGCCGAGATGTGATCGTGGTCGAACACATGATAGTCCACCGCTTCCAAGCCGAAGAATATTGTCAAGGCATCGAAGATCCCAGGTACTGGGACGAGGTCTCGAGGCCCCTTGAAGAGTGACCGCACGCCTTCACCGGGAAGGACATAGCAAAGCGAACTTGCAGGTACTGAGAGGGATATAACGGTATCATGTAGGCGAGACCTAAGGCTGGTATCAGCAAGCATAAATCTGAGGTGGATTTCCATCATGTCACATACTGTAGAGGCCGAAGGAATTTCTCGGCGTTGAAGAGAATCGCATAGGCGTGGCCAAGTCCGGGAACAAGGTATGGAGGTATGACAAGCCGCCTATTTCCTAGCTTCTCGTAACGTTGATTCTTCCAGAGAAACCGGATATAGGTGAGAAGATAAGTGAGAAGGAAGGGAGTGCTCAAGATCAAAACAGAGCATGCGGCCTTGGCGAGGGCATCTCGTCCCGCGCCGCTCAAACAAGCTTCTCCAAGCACTAAGGTAAACATGATGAGAGCCTTGATGAGTGTCAAACCAAAATTTCTACGTCATTCAGAAAGAGGAAAGAGAACATCCATGATCCAGAGGATCTTTGGTTTTTCTTATAAGATTATTCAATGTCTCAAAGAGCTAGAGACCCATTATCACATGGAAGTTTCGACATATCAAATAACAGCTGGTAATCGCGCGAGTAGACATCTATTTACATGATCGCGGAAGGTTTCAGAGTGTCATTGGGGGCTAGTATTACCCGCTGCCTTGATTTTGGCCCCTCGTCACGCAGCTCGTGTTGGTTGTGAACATGAAGACTTGGCTGAAAGGATTGTGGCAGAATAATTACCCTTGCCGCGGGTGATACCTTCTTTTGGCAACTCTTCAGCAAACAATGTCCATCTTTACGGCGCGGCCGCCGCAGAAAGACATATATCACTTATCATGGCGCTTCTCCGACTCCAAGGTGGCTTGCGGCCCGGATTGCATGCTTCTCGGTACTCGGTGGATCCGTGTATTTCGTTTGTTCGAGGGAATGATCATATCAATCCAAGCCGGAGATCCCTCAACTTGACTTGTCTTCCAGGATATCATGGATCGCCATTGGACGCCCGGTTTGTTTGCTTGGTTGGGTAGCTTTGGTGAAGGCAACGTCAAGCGCTGAGCCGCCGCACCGCCGAGTCTACCGCCGGCATTCAATGGAGACGGACGGTGACTTGACTTGCATGTGTACTCGGAAAAGAGCATACACAGTTACCACTTGAGACGTGGCGAGCTTTCGACTACGGCACCAACCCCAACGCTGAGCCTCCGAGTTTTGGGGGTCGGGATTCTGCACACAGCTTCGGAGATGGCCCCCAGGGATGGTAGGGCAATATGTGGGACTCCGTTGTGATGCCGCATGGGATTGGGCTCAACTTTTGTTTGCTCAATGTCGTTGGAAGCGGCAACATGGTCGTTCAGGATGCGATGGGTTTGATTGGACCAGCAGGTTGGCTTCGCCGCAGGTGAGGAAGAATCCATGCTCCCACGGGATGGATGCACTGTGACACTCTCATGCAGGCAGTCACTTGGCTGGATTCAGCCCGCCACGGTCCACAGGTGACAATAGGTATTAGCAGGCGCCACTCCCGCGGCACCCTCTATATTTGACAGATATCTTCGAGCAGACAGGAGGGTTACACATAATTCCTTCTGGACGGGTGGCTTGATGTGACGATTTGGGACTTTGCAGCCATGTTGCCAACCTTGCTGTTTGCCTTTGTGTATGCGGTATCCATCACAGATTCGTCAACTTAGTAGGTAAGATAAGGTAGTAGGACAATCCCAGGTTATTGGATCGAACACAGGTCACTTGTACAACATGTTGCGACCAGGACCGTTGTGGGGGTATTGTTGAAGAGGATGGGCATTCACAGAGCTCGCAAGGGAGTAATTAGTTTAAAGGCTAGCGGTCTGATGTTGGCGGATTGGAATTATTCCCTCTCCGCACAGTTTGGACTTGTGCCCAAACTACTCCAGGGCCCCGCCCGTCCACGAACAGTCTTGGCCTAGCTAAGAGATAGAACAATAGAAACAATGTGGGAAAAGTTCGGAACCCCCAGAAAGACAATCTTTTTCTGCAGTATTCCAAGGCTCATTGAGTTGATGATACAAAGGTATCTCGGGTAGACCTTAGGTAGGGAACTCATCGGCCATTGAACACCAAGCAGGACGATCTGTGTCCTCGCCAGTGTCGGACCGGATGACGGCGTGAACTTGACACTCTGGACAAGATTCTATCAATTTTCTCCCTGAACGTATCCTTCGAAGACTGCGGATCTGATCCCCGATAGCACGAACAGCATGTAGAAGCCTCTAGGATTATGCCCCGAGGACTTCAAGATCGTTTGCTTGCGCAAGATTCCCGGAAACCAACCTGGACCGGGCTAATGGACGCACTGTTTGCACAGTTTGCTTGAAACCGACATCCATGCCCTGCAGGATCTCGATGCCGTGTTAGATTCGTTCCGTACCGTGAGGGCCGCAAGCTCGGGGCAACGCGGGTTTCCGTTTCCTCGGGCCATGGTCAGTATCAATGGAAATTACCCCGCAAGGGCCGGGCGGTCCGTGAACGCCGACAGGATAGTTAGTGTACTTAGCACAGCGATCTTGTAGTTGGGGTAATTGTTAGGCATTCCCCGCGTTGTCTCTACTCATACGTAACACAACACAGAAGCTTGGTGGTTCACTCCAGTGCCGGCGGGAAACATCCTCTGTGCGTCGATGGAGTGCCGAGGTCCTGATGACAGTATACTATCAGCCCCGCCTACTGTTGGGCATGCTGAGATAGTAAATCTAACAACACACAACCTAACCGTCGACTGCCTGCAAGTTGTCAATCAGAGCCAAATTCCAGGTGTTCAACCCGTAGCTTGCATAAGCATGTCTTCTCAATCTCGAGAAGCCCCGTGGAAGGCCATTGCACGACGTAAACAGGCTGAGAGAGCAGCGCGCATCTCATCAAAATGGCACATCCCAATCAAGGCCATCCCGAATGACCCCCCTCAACCAGGTGACGGGCCACAGAGAGTTCTTGACATGCCGCGCCAATTCTTGTCTCAATCAGAAATCTCAATTACCGAAACTTACACGATTCCAACTCTGCTCAAGGCCATAGGGACGCGCAAACTCTCAGCTAGACAAGTGACCGAGGCCTTCTGCCACCGAAGTGCCATAGCGCAGCAACTCACAAACTGTTTGACTGAACCATTATTCGAGACCGCCTTGAACCGGGCTCAGTTTCTCGATGACTACCTCCGCGAACACGGCGCCCCCCTCGGCCCCCTCCACGGCCTCCCCGTCTCCGTAAAAGACACATTCAACGTTGCAGGCGTCGACACCTCAATGGGGCTGGCATATCTGTGCCACAAGCCCGCAGCCTCCAATGCGCCGCTGGTTGATCTCCTGCTCTCTTTGGGGTGCGTCATCATCGCCAAGACCAACATCCCGCAAACTCTCGGAAGTCTGGATTCCGTCAACAACGTTTTTGGCCGGACCATGAATCCTATCAACCGACTGTGCACCGCTGGCGGATCCTCTGGCGGCGAGGGCGTCCTCGTGGCCATGAAGGGTTCCATGATTGGAATCGGAACCGATATTGGTGGCAGCATCCGCGTGCCTGCTATGTGTAACGGTGTCTATGGCTTCAAGCCCTCCAATGGCCGCGTTCCGTACGGCGGACAAGTTCTTACTGGCATTGACGGTATGAGCCGCACTTCCGTGCAAGCTGTTGCAGGCCCTATTGGCCGTAGTGTTGAGGACATAGATGCTCTCCTGCGTGAGATCGTCCCTCGGGCAGCTTTATGGGGCGAGGATTGCATGCCCGCATCATGGCCCTCCAGCTTGAGAGTGTCGTCGATCTCGGGCTGCGGCAAGAACGGGGAGTTGGTTATCGGCGTTCTCCGCACGGATGGAAATTGCAGCATTCATCCACCTCTTGATCATATGCTGGACGAGGTCTCTTCAGCTCTTTCGCACACACGCGGTGTGAAGGTGGTTGAGCTGTCATGCCCCGCGGCACTCACCAAGGCACAGTCAGTCATGAACAAGCTCATGGGCGTCGACGGCTCCGTCACCATGGCCCAGATGATTGAAGCAACAGGCGAGCCCCTAGTACCTTGGACAGCAGCACGATTCAAGAAGGGGAAGCCGCTGCCACTTACGCAAGTTGCTCAGCTTCAGGCACAACGAGCAACGTTGGAGCGGGAGATGCTCAAGATGTGGGTCGAGAACGATGAACACGGTCGCAGGCGAGAGAAGCTGGATGCTGTGATATGTCCGGTTGCGCCGCACCCTGTGCCGCCCATCGAAGGATACAATGCTGTCGGTTTGACTAGCAGTTGGGTGATGCTTGACTATCCTGCAGGAACAGTACCAGTGCGAGACGTGAGGGAGAGTGATCTGCAGCTTGGTCGGCCACAAGGTGGAAAGATCCTGAGTAGCTGGGACGAGAGGAACAGAGAGCTGTGGGACGAGAAGAAGATTGACCGAAAGATCTACCTAGGGACGCCGCTGAGTGTTCAGGTCGTTGTACCAAGGTTGCGGGATGATCGACTGGTTCAGGTCATGGCTAGCGTAGATGCAGCTTGCAAGGTCACAGGTGTGAACGCAAAGCTCTGAGTTGAATTGCTTTCGTAGTAAACAGATCAACCAGCCTTGATTCGAATTGCAAATTGGTCTAATACGTGTTGCATGATACTTCAGGGCAATCTACCATCAAAAGGTATGTAAGGTTCTACAAAGGAAGCCATAGCGCTGGCTCCAGTGCCCAGATCGAACTCATTCATCACGGCGTCCCAGTCTTGAGGAGCCATGATGTGATCGTACGGAGGTACTGCGAAATTGACCTCCGGTAAAGAAGGAATATCCCCAAGTTCCCGTTGTCCATACACCTGCTCTGTATGCGGTGGCCTCTTGCTTATCAAGGATCTTCGCTTGGCAGCAAAGCTAGCGAGCTCATAGAACGTCTTACACACATCGTACAGCTTCTTGGCTGAAGGCGAGCTGATTGATGTGGGTTCAATGGCAGACACTGCGCTGCAGAGGAGTGTTAGGTCCTCTTCGGACGCCATTGCCACGGTGTGTCCCGCGAGCACTACAAAGCTGGCAAAGGGTACTAGAGAGAACATCCTAATAAATGTTATTAAATATGCATCAAGAATCGCAGCAGCGTCATGTGTGAGCATACATGTTGAGGAGCATTGTCCATCCAGTGATTCTGAGATGGCCCCAGGATTTGAATGCCCTCACAATTGTACGAAGGGCACTTCGAGCAGCCTCCGTGCATTCGTTGCTGCATTTCAGTGGACTATCGCTTGCTTCATCGCATGGGATGACACGATAAGCTATCGTGACAAGACCGTACATCATGAAGTCGAGCAGCACGGCAAGCGCCTGATAGAGGTCGTCGTCGGGAGGGTTATGTCCGATAGACTGCGGAATTCAGAAAAGTCCTTTCAAACAGCATGATCACCCAAACCCACCTGTTTGTTACGCGTGTTGACTTCAAGCAATTTGGAAACTACCGACTTGGCATTCTGGCTTCGTGTCTCTAGTGGCTGTCGAAGCGCTGAAGCAGAAAATAGCTCAGCGTGCATATCGCCAACAATAAACGCGTACTCGACGAATCCAGAATAAAGACTGAAGGTGCCGTCAGCATACCAGTTCCGGGGAAAGGCAAGAAGGGATGCTTTACTGTACTGGCACACCCGGAACGCAGTCTTTGGGAATGGACGGCCGCTCAGTGGAGACATCATAGGGATGAATCGACGGTGTCCTGCCCATTGTAAAAGCCATGCTTTTGTCGTGGACATAAACATGCCAAAACACTTGTCGCCTTTTTGAGAACTCTGGCTCATTGCTAGGTAGTCTATGCCAACCGAGGTCGATGCACATCCTCGACGCGGCCGATATGAGCTGCCATGCAAGTGTACTTTGGCCTACTTTGTTACAAAACGTGTACTTTTTCGTCAGTACTGGGAATTGAGCTTCGGCGGCAATCACTTGAGACTTACCAGGACTGCTAGAGCTTGGCATGCTTGTATTGAAGGGTCGCTGCAAAGTCTCAAAGACTGTATCGCAGCTTCAAGGTTGGCCTTGAGGAGTTGAGAGTACGCCTCGATGTCTGACTCGTTGATGTCGATCAGGGCATAATGATGGCGTTTGAGTCCTTGGAGCAAGAAAAACAAACCGGCGTTGAAAATGATCCAATCCACAGTAGAAAAGTCGGTGATAGCAAAGCAAACTTTTTGGCAATACTCACCAAACTCTTGTTCGTCAATCACGGGGACGTCGATGAAAAACCGCTGCTTTTCAGTCTGACACAGTCGAATGAGCTTCAGAACGCGCTCAGTTGACGGAAGGCTCCTACCCTCCAACTCGGGATGCTGGGCTTGCACGGTCAATGGAGAGTTGCCGATGTGAGTGGGACTACTCTCTTCACTGCCCGTAGCCTGGTCGATCATTTGCACGGTGGCAGAGAGCGCCGAATCGTCGCCCAAGGTCGACTCTAGGTCTGCAGCCGCATCCTTGAGTGCATCCGTGACCCGGTGGACATGCGCTTTAAACGAAGATTCGCCTCTGTATCCCTCAGATAGGCCTGAAATGTCGGGAGAGTGATTGCCGATGAAGGATGTTGGGGAGATGAGTGGTGATGAGTTCGACTTTTGCTGGTTGATTTCGAGTAGCTGCTGCACCGCCTGCGACACTTCCTTCAGCGAGCGGTCAACACTTTCTATGGCCTCATCATAGCGGGGCGAGATGAGAACGCGCTGTCGTCTCTCGGATGAGCGATGCGTCAGGCGACATATGAGTTTTGAGGCCACACAACTTGAGCATGGCGTTTCGCGGTCGCATTTCGTCTATCCGTTCTCGTCAAAACCCATTGTGCGATGTTTTCATGATGTGATGACACTGGGGACTGAGTACTTACCTTTCTGCCTTTGCAATTATCACACTGGCCATGGCGTGTTTAGTATGTCTATGGGTAACGGTCATTGTCTTGAGTGACGCGAACTCACCGCAGGCCTTTTGCTGCTGACTCCGGAAGCCTCCATTCGAGGCAGTCAACAATTTCTACGTGAGGGCAGACTCTTCCACGGTCGACAGGGAAATAGACTGAGAAAGAAAATCGAAAGTCAATTAGACTCGATAAATGGGAAGGTCCTACAAGTAGCGACTTTTCTTCTTTTGTTCTTCCCTGGTCTCAAAGGCCATGAGTACTTGGCGGGCATGGCGGGGTGGCATAATTAGGAGGCGCCAGTTAGGCAGTCAGTGACTAATCTTTGAGAAAGGTGCACGCAGTAGGTGGTAAGATATCGTGCTGGGATGCTTGCAGAATCCTATCGACCAAGACTCTCATCCTCTTCGGTCTCCATTCCGGACATCTCTTGTGTAGGTTCTTCCAGACTCGAGCTCTTTGCAGACAGCCCATATCCAAAGAGTCTTACCCTGTGCTCGGCAGGCTGGCGACGCAAAGCTTCCTGACATTAGGCAGCTATCATTATCGCTGCGTCCTATTCGCACACTCTGTCAGCGCTAGGCGTAGTAGCCCTGAATCCCAACCATCCCCGGGCCCGAGGCCCCGGAAGACTAAAGTTCCCATTTGGGTCAGGATGTGCCACTGCCACACAATTGCGCATCAAAACGTGTGGCTATAGCCCTCAAATGGGCATGGTTGTCTTTCGGCAACGGCCGGCAGACACCGCTGACTTCTTGTATTAATGATAGTTACTAGTTCGGGCCACTCCATTAATCAGGCTCTAATCTCACTCCGACGACCGACATGCTGTTTCGGGGCCTTCTCACCTTCACAGGGCCCGAGGGCCCGGGATTGTAGCGATCTCAGCTCAACATGCGTTCATCAAAGACAGCGAAAGTGCCTTGGGGGACAGTTATATTTAAGAAGGCGAGCAGTCTCCATAATATGATCATAAACCGCCGAGCTTGACAGCAAAAACTAGGTACCATTGACTACATTCACATCTCTTCAACAATAATCTTTAATTGTTCTCATACCATATCTGCCATGATTTACAATCTCTGGAAACATTGTTACCTTATCGGGTCGTTGGCTCTCTTGGAGGCTTTAGCAGCTAACATAAGCACGACGGAAACTTTTGTTGGGGGCACTCCGCCTGTAAGCACCCTCCAAGTCACTGTTGGTAATCTCACTAATACTTGTAGTGTGACGCGCTCCTCGCCGCCGGCTTAGGTGATAGGGTTTTATCGCCAACCGATTCAGGGTACGAGAAACAGGTGCAAACCTGGTGGGCTCGGAATGCCCAGCTTCATCCATGGTGTATTGTGCTACCCGAGAGTACTGAAGAAGTTTCCCTCACTTTGACTACACTCCTAAAAGCTGGCAATGGCGCTGGAGACTGGCACATTGCAGTCCGGAGTGGGGGGCATGGCTTTCAGTTGAACAACAACATTCAGAATGGAGTCACTATCGATTTGAGCATGCTCAATTACTCCCGTTATGATGCCGAAACGAATACCGCGACGCTCGGTTCGGGAGGGCGATGGGAGAATGTTTACGCTAGTCTGGGCGATCAAGGCGTTGTCGTGGTCGGTGGCCGCGATGGTGACGTTGGAGTGGGAGGCTTCCTTCTCGGCGGCGGCACATCCTATTTCTCGCCCAAGTATGGATTCGCCTGTGACTCTGTCCTCAACTACGAGGTCGTGCTCACCAACGGAAGCGTCGTCAATGCGAACAAGACCAGCAACTCTGATTTATGGAAGGCGCTCAAGGGTGGCGGCTCCAACTTTGGCATCGTCACAAGGTTTGACCTGGAAGCCCTTCCTGCTCGTGATATCCACTACGAGGTCCGAATACTGCCCGCAACCGCTTCTGACGTGGTCTCCGATACGCTGATCAAGTTTGCTGATCATGACATGTCGCTTGCTGATAACGCACTGGTCACTTTCCTCCAGTACAACGGCACGGCAGGTCCTGACATCACGATCACGGCCATCTATGTCAACACTGCTGGGCACAATGGTGTCGAAACGGCGTTTGACAATGTCCGGGACATTCCGTCTATTCGCAATGTTTCTGTAAAGCAGTCTGTGGCCAAGACTGCCGCAGGGTCGAAAGTCCAAGGCGGACAATTGTAAGTCTGGCTGATATCTGAACCCTTCGGTCAGACTGATCTTTATCTCTTAGGAGTGCTGCGGCGACTCTGTTGTTCCAAAATGATCCAGAGATTCTTCAATACTCCACCAAGCTCCACGAAGACTTCGTCAAGTCCCTTCAGAGTTCCATCGGCCCGGAAGCCTTCGGAACCATGATCTTTCTACAGCCTGTCGGAATGGACCATGGAAATATCGCAAAACAACGCGGCGGTAATATGCTTGGTCTTGAAAGATTGAAGTCAAATGCCATCATGTGGACGGGTGGTGTGTATGTGTTGACGAACGACGCAGACTTTGCGGTGGCGGAGGCTTGTTTGACTTCGATGTCGGACAAGATACAGAGATTTGCGAAGTCTGTCGGGGGCGACATGGACCTGGCCTACCTCAACTATGCCAGTCCTCGACAGGATGCTATCGCAGGATACGGCCCACAAAATGTTGAATTCATACGGGAAGTTGCTGCCAAATACGACCCGAGTGGCGCGTTTCAGACAAGAGTTCCTGGGGGCTTCAAGATTGGGAGATCTGGATAAGAGGATGAATCGAAAACGACCATACGTTAGGAAGTGGCGCGTTTGTAGATAGGGTCTCTGAAGAGGAAGGACTGTGGAACTGAACTTGGAAACCAAGGCATGACATCTACGAAACGAAGCCCTAATGATCTCTCAAAATTTGGTGAACAAAAGTTTCTATGGGATACAGCCTACAGAACTGGGACTTCTTATTTACATGTAGACTATACATACAAATTTGAGACCACTGAATCGTTCCGGCCGGGGTGAAACGACATAAGCTACTGAAATCGTCTCGTTGGGAATGATGGGTTGCCGGTGTGATTGGTCGGGAAGAATTTATGATGCAATAGGCTGCTCAATGTCCCTCACACGCCATCGTGCTGGTATTATACCTGCGGAGTGTAGTCATTAACGATGCCAAAGATGAACTCTTCGTAATGACCGCGACCCTCGAAAAGTTTTTGTCCAATGATACTGCCTTTGACAAGACCGTTAGCGCGTTGGTAGGCGCCCTTCTCATCTCTGACGATGAACTGGGTAGTGACATCGACCTCCATTACGTCGCCATTTGTGAGGTTGTACTTGACAGATAGGCCTTCGGTCTCAAGCAGTGCAGTGATAGGAGGCCAAGCTGCCTTTCCGCCCCTCTGTCGAACCTCCATGCTTACCATGTCGCAGCTGACGAGGAGAACCTCTCCATCCTTTGCAACATAGGAACGTCTGCTTTCATTGCCATCATAGTCGAGAAGGTTGTACCAGACGATAGAGTAAGGACCAAAGCAAGCGTGTCCCCAATCCCAGTAACGAGGACCATCAATGACGGACTGATTGCCCCAGTTTTTCTCGTGGTAACCAATACCGTCTTCGAAAGCGATAAAAGTGTCCTTGACGGCGAGATCGACAACGGTCTCGGCATCGGAGACCGCGTTAGCCCAGTACAGTCCCGGCAAGAGATTCTTGCAGACGCCAACTGCGCCATTCAAGTCGCAAGGGTAATGGGCGGGAGCATTCTGTAATCTTCAATATCAGTCTCTTGAAATTGCACAACAGTGAGGAATAGGATTGGGGAGTCACTCACGGCTTTGAAGGAGATCTTGCCATATATACCCATGCCCTTGGAGTCGACGTTGATCGTGTATTCAACATCAGGCTTGTCCACCGAGGTTCCACTAAGGCTCCCAATGCCTCTCCAGTCTCCAGCAATACCTCGGGACCCGTTGGTGAGATGAACCCCAGCATCGGCCATAGCTTCGAAGTAGAAGTCTGTACCATTGGGGTACACCCCCGAAACCTGGACAGCGAGAGGATGCGGGTACTGCGAAAAATTTCCTGAGTTGAAGAAGACAATATTCAAAGTCTGGTTAGAGAACTTTGAAACAACATCAAAGTACCAAAAGTCGGTAGACTTTTCGGCGGCCGGGGTGATCATCTTGTAACCGTCGAGGTTTCCCACCACCGAGAGATGCTCAACGCTGATAGTCCTATTGTGGTAACGAGAAGGTAGGTCGAGGACCCGAGTAATATTGCTGGTTGCAGCTCCGTAGGTCGAGCTGAGCATAGCAGCTGCCAGAATTAGCCTGCAGAGAGCCATTTCAAAGGCGTCTAGTTCGTTGCTTGAACGAGTGCAGAAAAGAGAAAGAAAGAGTATAATGAAATGAGTGAGCGACTGGTGGCATGCGAGTATCAAGTCAATCCAGGAAAAAGGGGCGCGGTTCAGTATTTAGGTAATTTGACGGGCCTCAGGGCCACGTAAGTTTACAAGCAGATGGCGACTAGTTCCTCTGTAAGGTAGACGATGCATAGTTGATGATATACGAATGCGCGGCGAGTTAAAGCTCAACTTCGGACTGGGGCACTAAACTTGTGCCAGAAACCCCTTGTCGAGTAGCCGAATGTAAGCTTTTTCAAGTTTACACCAGTTCCTGATTCTTGGAAGAGAGTGATATTTTCCCGACATCAGGGACTTGACCTACAAGTCTACTTCTCAATGACGTGGAAATTTCCAATGGCTGTCCTCCAGCAGGCCGTCTAGGCGCCCTTTCTTCTTCACGGCGCTCAATATGAAACCATCGAATGATGAGGCGCCGCTTGTGGCTCGTGATACTCGGACCGTGTAGTTAGATTTTCGTGCGTACCACCTTAGCTCCAGTCAGGCTGGACCGGGCTTGCTGGCTACAATGATCATCGAGTGCCCATTGATCATTGCCCCACAACTATATTATAAGGTGGGATGAACCCAGAAATAGGAATTGTTATGAGTACCATCTTACAGGATGTATCAAAAACGGTGGATGTGCGGCAGCGGATGGTGTCATTCAAGTTACGGCATTGCCTTGGTGCCCTTGTACCCATTCCCAATACTCACCAAAAAGGTCCAGGATAATTCATTGAGGGGCCATCAGACGATGATGGATCTTCCTCACTTATTAGAGAAGGCCATAGTAACACTTGCCGCTCAAAAGCAGGGCCTCAATTGTTGCAGCTTCTATGCCTCCGTTTACGATACTAGTAACCTTCATTTCCGAAGGTCCTTCAGTCAGACATCTACATTAAACCAGAAGGCTGGAGCAGAAGCTGGAGCCGTTTCTGCTTAGAATGTTACTCGCTGGTCTCTCCACAAGCTGTTCTCACAAGCAATGCTATACTGTGCTTTTTGAGCTTTCCAGAGGTGTATTTCAAGGATGAGTTCGAAGAGGACGAGCTCTGTTTCTAGTGGTCACGAAACGACTCCGAACTGGAAAGCTATAAAGACCTTAAGATGCCCAACGAGTTGGATGAAACTCCATGAGCAGATACCATTGAATGATACTCCCTATCAAAAAGGCGGTACTTGCAACAAACCCAACAACTGAGCTCTCAAAGATGTAATTGTTCAAGAGCAACACACCGGTCACAATGAAACCGGCGGATGCCACTGCATTCCAAGCCGCCCCTTGCCATTCGCCCGCGAGGATTCTTGGTTTATACCAGTCTGTCTGGACATGTATGACGAGAGTCATATTGGCAATGAAGAATAGGGCTCCTCCAATTACTTGTGGCATGAAGACCAGAGCCTGGGTGAGAAAAAGATCCATCGGGTTGAGAACTCCTGGGAGGCCAGCCACTGCGGCTACGGAGAGGATCAAACCGCCGGAAAGCATCACCAGACCAGCCTGGAAAGGCACAGTCCGTAGAAGACCGGCGAAATCGGCTGCAGATGGGATCCAGAGCCATGCTTCAGAGCCAATAAGGGCGGGTCGATAAATGGCCGGGATGTTGTCATCGATGGACTTGGTGCCGCTCTTCTCGAGGGTGCCGCGGTCGGCATTGAAAGCGGCGAAGATGCCGAGAATGCCTCCAGTCAAGAACATGGTGGCTCCGATTGTAATGGTCGCAGGGAGAGCAACGGTTGGGAGAGTATCGAAAGCGAGGCTTGGCTCGAGGGAAGGAAAGAGCCCGAATCCTGCATTGATAACGAAAGATACGCTGCCAACCACAAATAGCATCGTGACAATCCAGTTCATATCTCTGTAAGGAAATATTGTAAACATTCGTTTCAGCTGGGATCGCTGTGAGCCTTCAACCTCGATGGCAGGATCTTCAATCGAATACTCTTTTACGGGAGATGGAAGAGCTGCCTCTCGATCCATGTCGCATCGTACACGATACTCGAGGTAGTTTAGAGTTTGTACAACCCGACGCCTTTCCCCTTCGCCGACTTCGATTCCCCGAGAATGGGCGGCCGCAACAGGATCGAATCGTGAAGGGCCCGGGGGTACTGGGATCAGCACCGATGCGCGAATCATTGAGGCGCGGAGGTTGGCTGAGGCGTTCATGTTTGGGATAGAGTGATTCTTTTTTCCTATTAGAGGTCGAGAATGATGATGAGTCCCTGCGATACCGGCTCGCTCGGGTTGACAAAGGTAGAAAAGAAAGAAAGTCGGGGAACACGCTAGAGAATAAAACAACAAGGCGCGAAATGCAACAGTCGCTATGAAAAGACCACGCGAGAACCAGAGTCGCTCAGTAAGAAGTGGGTGAACAAAAGAACACCAAATGAATAATAGTTAGTTGAGAGGATTGCCATTTTCTACAAGCGATGCAAAGTGCGTCGATATCGACAACAGAGGCCCGTTCCCGTTTACCCACACCACCTTGACCGCCAGCCGGCTCCCGCCGTGATGCTATGGGTGTTTTGATGTGGGCCAAAGTTGCGTTGAAATCATGGTGAACGTTTCGAGAATTTGGATACCTCAATCCTCAGACAAGAGATGATATAATAAGAAATAAGGTTGACACACCCGCTCCCGCGAAGTCAATTCTGCTGCACGGTTGCCCCCTGGACTCGTAACCACAATGCTCCCAACGGGCTCACTAAGCTGCATTGTTGGGTCGGTGATCTACTGCGGAGGCCGCGGCCACGAACTTCCCCCCACTTGTTTCTGCCTTCTCTGAAATGCAGAGTTTCCTCGTTTCAGTACCCTGTACCACCTATGTAGATCAAATCAGCTTGTACCTACCGTTCTTTTCCACTTGTCAGCTTGCTGGTTTCGAGTCTGTCATGCCGCATTGAGTTATACTTCTCTCCTTCAAAACATGAAACTGACAGTCAGAAAACCAGCCTTTGCAATGATAGACACAGAAGCCTGGCCGTTCTCTCGGCGTGAGGCTCATTATCAAAGCTTGATTCAGCTCTACATGTTTAATTCCAATATCTCAAAGGTCACGGCCCAAACCGACGTATTCTGACCGGCTAGAACCAGCTACCTCTTCAACTCCTTGGCCTGGAATCGTCTCGAATTTGCGCACATGGCACCGCTCGGACAACGTCTCCTTTCTTTGACGCATGGGCTAAGATCGATAAGCCGTCACCAATAACCCGAACAACATCAAATACATGGGAGCCGTTAAATGTCTTGCTCCACAGCGTCAAGGTCAGACTAGACAAGCTGTTGATTTGGACAGCAAGACGCTCGTTCTTGTCCAGCTGGTCACCAAGTTCCGTCTCTTGCACAAGACCGATGACCAATTGGATCAATCTACGCTCGTCCGGCTGAAGGGAATCTGAGCCAGACTCTTGAACAACCTCGGACAAGATTTTCAACCACTTTGTGAGCAAAAAGGCGCACTCCAGGTTAGCGAGAGCATGTTGGATGCTCCAATTCAGGGTCTGGGTACGCGCAACAAACGCAACGCCAACCCTTACTGGAATACTGAGGGCGTATATACATTGTAGAACGGCCTGGTTCATATGCGGTGACCTATCACCGGCAGTAATGATTTGGCTAGATAATGCCGCGGCTATCCCTGGTGCATCGTCTCGGGCAAGAAGCCGTTGGTCAAGATTGTGGCCAACGTTAAGGCGGATGTAAGCCAAGCGTAGGAGGGCAGTGGAGTTGAAACCCAACGGTCCCTTGGGAGACGAAGGGTCCGTCGTTGATTCGTACGTCGCTTCCCATGATTGTTGCCAAGCACGAAGCGCGGCCTCCATCTTGTTGATGAAGTCCCCACCCAGCGAACTATCACCACCAACAATCGGAAGATGCTCACAGGCGTTGCGGGTCAGTAGAATCTGTTGGAGCAGTCCATTAATGAGCACGTAGTTCCCGAAAGAAGAAAGTGCTGTCACTGTATGGATGCTCCGTCCTGCTAACAGCATATGCATCTTCTCTGGGAAAGGTCTCGGCGGCATATACGTGTCCCTCAGGGCTGACCACTCTTCCGCGTTAGGCGCTTGCCAGCTTGACGCGCACCCAGGTAGGTTGATGGCGACCTCTCGATTTAGGAGGAGTGGTGGCACGTCAAATGCAACGGATTGTAAGTTTAAGAGGGCGAAGGCGGCAAATAGCGTGCGGCGGCGTTCCTCAAGTTTGATACCTTCGGCCCATTGCTGATTGACTGGCGGGGGTTTCTCCAACTCGTGAATCTTCATCTCGCGGGCGAGCATGGCGACTTGACTTGACATGCTTAGGGCGTCACTTGTCAACTCTCGATCGCCCCATGATGCCATCGCCATGAGTATTATCATAGCTTGCAGCAACCGGATGGTTTTGTCTTGAGCATGTAACTCTGACTCTCTCGTGCGTGGACTAGCGCTTGTCGGTGTCGCAGGGGCGCTTGGATCATCATCTATGGTGACGCGGTCATCATGGGTCAGTCGGTCTAGTGTAGGCTGAGTCCTTTGCTTTAAATGCCAAGAGATCAGGTGCCGAGCAGCAGCATAAATCTGATAGCCCGAGGCCGTTTCGAACCGATAGAGAGCACCGACTGCGGCGAGCGACAGGAGAAGCTCAAGACCGATAGCTGGGGCAGAAAATGTAACGCCGTGAATGAACGGCAGATGGACGGCGAAGCCACGAAAGTACCCTTCCAAAAATCTTGAGAGGGCACGATGTGATGGCAGCTTGAAAGAGCTGGGCAGCTCAGAACGAAGCTGCTGGGCTTCGTCGAGAATCTTGCTGTATTCATCAGCCTCAATCTTCCAGGGCCGGAGACAGTGAACCTGTCGGGGCCTCTGAGCCTGATGTGCTAGATTAATATGCAATGGTGTCTGTTCTGGTCTCTCGGGTTCCATTGAAGGTAGTCGTGCCGCAAACTTCGGCAACGATGAAGTTGCTTCTGTTTCTAATTGTTCTTTACTAGGCGAACGGTCTTGTGGTGTGATGCATGTACTTTGCGCAGCAAATGACCTTCCATGCTCAGGCTGAATGGAGGACGGAGCCTCGACCTGATCCGTCGGCGGTATCGCCATGATTGGGGAGCCAGCATTGACAGGGCTGGCGAGTAGAAAAGAGTTTGACAACTGAGTGTCGTCCAACAAGAAGTCGAAATCAATGCCATCCATTCCTGCTAGGAGGTCTTGTGACAGCGAGTCTTGATAGCATAGGTCGGAAAATCCTGCGGCTGCATTATGTAATGCTAGGCTGCTGACGGGCTGGAAGAGAGCAGCTTCATTTCCCAACAGCTGCGGTCTGGCATCATATCCATGTTGATGAGGTAATGTTAGTGCTCCCGACAAAGACGGCGGTGAGGGAACCTCAGCACCAGTCGCCGCAGTTGACAATGGCCCTTCGGCGATTGTCGTTTCCCCTAACGAAGCAGACAGGTCATCTGGGCTTGCAATGATTCCGTCGGCATGAGATATTCGCTGATGTCTTGAAAGTAGATCCCTATCGAGTTGTGAGCAAAAAAAGCCCCTCTGGGAACTGAGGTGTGACTGGGGACTGTACCTTCGAGAAAATCTCCGACCACATTCGCACAGGAAGGGTTGTTCTCGGGTGTCTGGGCATTATCATTAGCGAACCTCTGGCCACCCTTGCATAGAAGTTCACGGAGCCCAATGTCAGGACGTAAGGGTATGTTGTGTACAGCGGGAGGTTGGGGTCCGGCTTACGGGTGCGTTCATGACGTTCGAGGTGCTCGAATCTCCTGAACTGTTTTTGACAGAACCTGCAAGGTGGGACGTTGCGGCGAGGTCTGCCGCGGGGCGTAGACATGACGAAACTTCAAGCAGACAATCCAACGTTTACGGCTTTGTAACTAGCATGCAGCCTGTCTATCGAGATGCGAGATCTGTGGCTACCACAACGTCTGACTACGCTCCGTCAGCCACTGCAGATGAGCTCGGGACAGATGGAGTTGGAGGTAAAAATTGTTGGGGTAGAAATTAGTTTTGACCCCTCTAACACGGACCTATTCTTCCAAGTGGGTATCCTGGTAGTGCCGCTTGTGTCACCAACATCCCTTACATGGCGAATTCATCAAAACAAACTCACTGATCCTCTAGTAAGAATCAGACGCATTCCAGTTTGAAAGAAAGAGGGTAGAATACTGGGGAGATCCGATATATCAAAGTGTGATTTCATTTGTGAGTATTCAAGTAAATTTTGAAAACATCGTAGACCGTAAAACTATGTACAAGAAAAAGGAAATTGTGTTTAACGACTGTTTACATGAGATCCTTGGTGAGATCAAATTCGGCGCACTTGTAGTCAGACTTGGTATTGAACGGGTTTCGGTGCAGCTCCTTGTTGCCATCTTCGCACTTGGACTTGGGCCACAACAGACCAGCCTGGCCCTCCTGGCCGGGGAAATTGCCTGCCATCCATATTGACCCCTTGGAGACATCGCTGTAGTTACCCTTGAGTACAGGCATAGCAAAGAAGCAGGGTGGGGGCGTTTTGCTTGCCCAGCTGCCCTCGCGGATGCCCGTCTTGCCGATGTGGCCATTGTTATTCTCCCAGCATTCGACGGCATTGCGGAGGGTTCCGAGTTTGTCCATGTTCCAGTCGGTCCACAGAGCCTCCATGTCCTTATTCCCGCCAAGGGTTTGAGAGACCTTCTTGGGGTACCAGGCAAGAATGTCGAGGCAGCGGTTCTTGTTTGCCTCCCAAGCATTGTTCGGGTTCGTGCACTTGTCGACGGGAAGGTCGTCTCTGACGACGACATAGGCTCCTCGAAATTGCCTGGCCATCTGCCAGATGAGCGCCTGGTCCTGTTGTTCAATTAGTATGAAAGTCATGCGAGCCATGCAATATTCACTCACCAAGTTGGTCTTCATATTGCTTATCACGTCGTCCAAATTATTGAGGGGATGGTCCCTCAGCCAAGATCCCCAACCGAAGACGGACACCGCCGGGTTTTTGACACCACCGACGCGCATAAGTTCGGGAATGTCAGTCTGCTTGTGACCTTGCTTGCCGAAAGTTGAGGCCACAATTGCCTTGATGTTAGCGAAGCCCTGCTTAGCGACAATGGCAAGTAGTCCCCGGATCGTGTCCGTCGCTTCCACTGCATCATCAGAACCGCCGCTGTAAGAATTGTTAGTAGTCTTTACGAATCTTTTTCCAAAGTCTTTACTCACGAATCTCCCGTAGCCGAGACCATGTACATGACACCACTGATGCCTGCTAAAGGACCCCCAACGGCTGCAGCTGGTGTGGCAAGGGCACTTCCGATACTGAAAGCTGCACCGAGAATAGAGGCTAGGTCGAGAGGTGCCTTTGGTGCGCCACTATTGATGCCAAGCAATTGTCTCATGGTGCCAATCTGGTCGGACGTGATGCCAATAGACTGATCGAACTCGATAGAAAGCTGCGACATGAAGCTGTGGAATGCGGCCATGGACTGGAAAAGATACCACAGTCCACCCTTGTCGATCGCATTGAAGTCGTCTGAAAACACATGTTAGTGAAAGCCTCAGAAGAGAGACAACTTATTATGAGATTCTCACCGCATGTCAAATCATGATCGCAAGGAGCACCAGGCTCCTGACAAGAGAACTTGGTGTGATCCTTCTTCGGGAATAGCTCGCGGTACAGGTTCTGCGCCCAATTGGAATGATCCGGCTGAGAGTTGATATACTCGTCTGCCCACTGCTCAGCACCAGAATTATACCAAAACGTGCCCATATCCTTGATAGCGTCATAAGACTCGCCGGACTTGCAGTTTGGAAGCTTCTTGTTGAGGAGCGATTTGGGGATTTCACCAGGCGAATTTTGCTCAACCGGCTCGGCCCTACGTTGTTGATCAGTCGGCTTTTGCTATTACGGTTGAGCCATTCAAAGGACTTACGAAGTGCTTGAGCCTTGGAAGTCAATGCTCCAAATCATAGTGCCTCCAAAACATTGCCCATCCGCCCAGGCCTTCTTATCTTTGAAGGTCTCCTCATCTAATCAGAGTGAGTAAGTATCAGGAATCAACTGTTCACGCAAGGTAGACTTACCATCATAGCCAATCCACTGATCGTCCCAAGTAAGCTCCTTCATCAGAGAATCTCTCAAGTAGTTGGGTTTGAGGCCCTTGTTCTTGATGAGGTTCTTGATCTCCCCAAGAGACATGACGCCATCAGAGTCAGTGCATTCTCCCTTTTTGCTCGGGCCTGAGAAAGAGCAGAGAAGTCCATTGCAACTCTTGTCAGAGACAGTATAGCCACGGCCATACATGGCAAGACCGAAGTTGATCTTCTTGGGATCAAGCCCGTCGAACCATAGGGGAACAGTATTATTGCCGATTTCACGTATGTCAGCTTGACCGCGAACAACCTTGCCAAGAGTCTTGACGTCTTCATCCCAGAATCCATGAAGGTCTGGTAAGATGGTCAGTTTTACGATTTCTAGGCGCCGGTTTGGTACTTTTTTTCAGTCACTTACCATAGGCCATAAATCCGAAAAAGTCGACAAAAGGCTCCATCGCTTTGGCTTCGAACCATCTCAGGTACCAATAATCAGGTGCAAGGGTCAGACTGATGCCGTACTTATCGCCATAAGCAGCACGCATCTCACGGAGAAGCACAGCAAAGTTGCGAGTGTCCTCAAGCTTTCTTCCACCACGCTTAGGTTCACCGGGATACTCCCAGTCGAGATCGATGCCAGTGAAACCATATTCGTCCATGTACTCGCGGGCAGAAGAGATAAAAGCAGCACGATTGGCCTTCGTCGCTACCATGTCGCTCCAGGTATGGTGGGTCTTTGTCTCGGGGTTGCTGAAGTCGAAGCCGCCGACAGCAATCCAAGTCTTGAGACCGTCCTTGGCTAGGCCGGTGAATTCCCGCATCTGAGCAGGGTCGTCGTCGTGGGCTGGAACAACGGCGAATGAAGTTGGATCGATGAATGCAAAGGAGTAGAACAGATGGGTGAAGCCCTTGGTATCAAGCTGCTTGGGAGTCTTGGTATCGCATTTCCGGGTCCTCACGTTCCATGACTGGTAGTATCCGATCGTGCGGCTATTTGAGCTCCCGCCGCCTTTTGCGCATGATGGGGTAGAAGCGATGGAACAAGAGCCATAACCGGCCTGGCAAGGTGCACTGAGGTTGATTGGGTCGGCGTTGTGGCAGAAGACCTCGGTGGTCTGATGGAAAGTAGTTATCAGTCTCTCGGAAGCGCACGAGGGTACAATACAGGTCGTGGAAAAGTACTCACACCACACCAGCCAGATTGCGAGCAGCAGAGATTCATGCCGCATGGCATATCGGCGTTCTCACTGTATTCTCCGCACATGGCAGTTGCATCGCACTGAGACTGACATCCTTTCCCGCAAAAGTCGGGGCCATATCCGCATATGCTATCGGGACCACAGCAGCTTAAAAAAATTAGAATCAGTCTTCCGTCTTAAGTGCTTCATACTTAGATAGCCACTAGGCTGTGAAGACAGTGACTAACCTTCCATCGACGCATGGACCATCTTTGCAGTAAAGGGGGCCGCGTTTCTCGAGAGAGCGGGAGCTCAATGACCGTCTGGATGTATTGTCGATGAAGGAAGCATTTTTTGAGTCTTCGTAGTATTGCTCGAGGCTCGTCGTAGAGTCTTGTGAAAGTTCAAGATCTTTAGTCGGGACTGGTGGGGCCTTGGATGGGTTCTGATGAGCTGGGCTCTGGGAAATCTCCTTAGCCCATTCCGGTGCTTTTGCTAATTTTTGGGGACGAGTATCAGTTATGCATGTCTCCAGTCAAACCATGATCCAATCAAATCCAAGTGACAAAGTCGAACTCACCTATGACATTGGACCGTCGTACGAACCCGTTTTGAGCATGAAGCCGGCGGCCGGGGGGGAATTGAGCGACGTCGGCATGAATGAGTGTGATGAAACAAAAAGAATAGAGAACAAACGCCAAAGAGGCGAAGCTGGATAGCTTCGACATCATGACCCTAGATATAACGACTGTGATAGTGCTCGACGATGCATCTTTTGGAACTCTGGGGCGATTCACCTGTATCACTGTATTTATAACACTACTTGTCAGCGCAACCAGATGTCATCTGTCCGCCCAATTCATTGGATTCAAAAAAAACTTTTCCCATCCATCATCTAACCGAGATTTTCATGCTCATTAGGTAAAACCGTCATCAACTATGTTACCCTGCAACGATCGTATTCCTTCTTATCCCCTTGATAACTCCATAATCATCATTTGTACAGGCGCTGTAATTACCGCAATTGTTAGCAGTTCGTATCCTGTCATCCCTTCTATGCATGCCGAGGCACTAGAACACGGAAAAGGTGCGGCCCCACGGCTCTGATAGAAACTGTGAGGCCGTCTGACTATAGCCAAGCCGTCCATCCCTCAAATGTGAGCTGTGAGAGCCCCATGGCAGCCCGATACCTACCAAGTTGAGGCAAGTGCGGGATGCCGATGCATGTAGATTTCTTTCCTTGGCCCGGACCGCAAAGCTTGGCTCTTTCCAGCCAGATCCGGTGGAGAGCCACAGGATCAGCATCCTTGCTAGGCATCAGGAACAGGGACTCTAATTCCACTTCACAAGCGGGTGTGATGCTGAATCGCCAACATTGATGCTTTACGTAATATGCGAATGAGCCACCGCTTCAGAGACTATGGTCTAAATTATGGGCCGTCATCCCAGGGGCCATCAAAATCATCAAGTGGTTCCCTCGGACTCTTAGCGTATGACCGTGGCACTATTGCCTACGATGGGGCGAAATGCTGAATGAGGACAACCTTCCGAGCAATGCCAAGTCCAAGTAGTCCGTACTTCCATCCAAGGAGCATTTGTTCATATTCAATCTCTGGAGATGTCTGCTTGGGAACATGGTGTATATAAAATCTGTAAACCTGTTCGCTCTCCAAGACCACGAATTGCATCGTGAACCTACCTTACTTAGTTACGAAAGAAAAGTCCTTGTCTTTTCCCAATTCCGTGCTCGACATGAAGGCAGCTATATTCTGCTGGCTTTTGCCGGCCTTCGTCACGTCTCAAAGCGTCACAGCTACAACCGCAACACTGTCACCATGGCAGACTAGAGAAGTCACGCCAGATGGAACCTGCGGAGGTACAACTGGTTTCGTATGTAGCCCTGTCTGGGGCGCCTGCTGTTCCAAAGATGGTAAATGCGGTCGTTCTGCTGCATTCTGCGGAGATGGTTGGTAAGCCTTATGTCTCATACCTTATTTACTGTCCTGGCACATGTGGCAGCTGATCACTCGACTTACACCGGACACAGTCAACCAGCCGCCGGTAACTGCAACGCACCCGCACCTGCTCCCGCCCCACCACCCGGGCCCGGGAGTATCTCTCCCGACGGCTCATGTGGCGGAGCAAATCAGTATAACTGTACGACTTCCCCCTTCGGAGACTGCTGCTCTTCGAGCGGCTACTGTGGTACCACTTTGGGCCACTGTGGAAGTGGTTGTCAAGACCTCTTTGGCACATGTGGTGCGACGACCAATATCAGCTCTGATGGCCAGTGCGGCTCCAATGGCAAGACGTGTTTAGGGTCAACATTTGGAGACTGCTGCTCATCCGGTGGTTACTGTGGAACATCCTCTGATCACTGCGATGCTGGCTGTAATGCGGCCTTTGGCACCTGTTCCAACGCGGACTCGGGTAGTATCTCTACGGATGGAACATGCGGGAAGAATGGCAAGACATGCAAGGGGTCCAAGTTTGGCGACTGCTGCTCCTCTGGCGGCTTCTGTGGCACTTCCAAAGACCATTGCCAGGCGGGCTGCCAGTCTCAGTTTGGCACATGTGGCGCAGAAGACAACGTTTCCACTGATGGTACTTGTGGGACAAACGGAAAGACCTGTAAGGGTTCTTCCTTCGGGGATTGCTGTTCTTCCACTGGATTCTGCGGCAAATCTACCGCTCATTGCGATGCTGGTTGCAATGCTGCGTTTGGCACTTGTAATGAGGCTGCTAGCGGTATCTCTGCTGACGGTCAATGTGGCAAGAACGGGAAGACCTGCAAGGGCTCTGCATTTGGCGATTGCTGCTCTTCCGGTGGCTACTGTGGCAAGTCATCTGACCACTGCGATGCCGGTTGCAACGCATCATTTGGTACCTGCAACACAGCTGCTGGAAGCATTTCCACGGATGGAACTTGCGGTAAGAACGGCAAAACATGCAAGGGTTCAGCCTTTGGAGATTGTTGCTCGTCTGGCGGGTTCTGTGGTAAATCTTCCGATCACTGCGATGCTGGTTGCAACCCATCCTTTGGAACCTGTAACGAGGGCGCCTCAAGCATCTCAACCGATGGAAATTGCGGTTCGAAGAATGGCAAGACTTGCAAAGGTTCAACCTTTGGTGACTGCTGCTCTTCCAATGGTTACTGCGGAAAAAGCACCGACCATTGTCGCAATGGCTGCCAGCTGTCTTACGGCCTTTGCACTGGAATCTCAAGTGATGCAGTTTGCGGCACGAAAAATGGCAAGACATGCGCTGGATCTGGTCTTGGAAACTGCTGCTCAAGTGGAGGCTATTGTGGAAGCACTGGCGCTCATTGTGGCCAGGGATGGTACGTTTCAGTTCAGTTTTTGCGTGTCTAGTATTCGACTTTTCTCTCTTTTTTGCATCAAATGAGGTCCGAAATGCTGGACTTTATTGCTGACGTCGTATCTATCATAGCCAAAAAGATTCATCGAAAGGCTGCCTCACAGCCAACATCCCGTCTGTTGATGGCACTTGCGGCTCCAGCAAGGGAGGTTTCACATGTGCTGGTGGGCCTTTTGATGGTCAGTGCTGTAGCTCTTCAGGGTTTTGTGGAACGAGCTCTTCGCATTGCGGAACTGGCTGGTGAGTTTTGCTGTTCTAGTACTCAAACGAATTCTTCCATACTAACTTATGTTTCCATGCAGCCAACCTGGCTCTGGACGCTGCACCTAGAAGACGAAAAGATTTTGCGTGTTTTGCAATTTCAGGAATTAGGAAGCGAGCTCTTAATAACTTAATTTAGAATTGCGCCACTGTTTATAGAAAATTTACCTCTTTGTGAATAAAGGCCCGTTGACTCCAATAACTCGATTTCTTCAACCATGGAGAAAAGGTTTGCTCACGTTAATCTTACCTTAGGAAACAAAATACCATGGCAGCACATGTGTTGAACAGATCACGGGCCTTTTGAATGAAGCTTCGTGCACCTGGTCGAGGGGGCAGATGCTTTGCTTGGCTAATCCGAGACCGGGTACACGAAGACTAATATGTTGAACCATTGTGATCTCAGGTACGTAGATCAACATAAAACCCAGGAGAGTCCGGCTAATGTTCGCCTTTCAATTCAATCTCGAAGCAAGCGTGTCTGACATATAGAGCCTACGGCCTGACGCCAAGGCCGGGGATGCAATAATGCCGGTAGGATGGGTGGATGATTTTCACCCCAAAGTTGGAGAAGAAATTACACGCGCTCAAGACCCAGATACCAACATCTGAACAGAGTAGTCCAGCCAGAAAATAAGTCTTAATGACGTATTAAGTCAGTCTGTCGAATCATATTGTGATCTTCTTTGAGTCATGATGCTTAGTTGAGGTAATGTTATGGTCTGGTGGTTCAATGATACGCCTCTCAGGGCTCGGTGTCCACTGGAGACAAGTGACTGCCGGTTCGTCATCTCGAGACATATTTATCAGCAAGTTTAAGACGTTACATCAAACATGAGAGTGGATTTGGACAAGACTTTTCTATATATAATATTGATCAGCTAGCCTGCTCTCATAAGCTTTGCTAGCTCTCGGTCAACAACCTCATTCACTTTGAGTCCAGACATCCTGCTCATTCACCAAGCTCCACGATAAACCATCAAAACGACACCTTCAAAATGGCAACTCAGCAGGTTTTCAGACTTCCTCAGCGCACATCCGTCAACGACCTCGTTGTTGGGACGGAGCCAATCCCAGAACCCTCCTCGAACGAAGTTCTGGTCCGCATTCGCAGTGTCGCTCTCAATTTCCGCGATTTCGCCGTTGCGACCGGACAGTACCCGTTTCCCGTCAAGGACAACGTGGTCCCCGGTTCCGATCTCTCTGGCGATGTTGTTGAAGTGGGAAGCCACGTTGACGACTTCGCCCATGGCGACAAAGTGATCTCGTCTTTTGATCTGAGCACACTTTATGGCGCCATGAAAGACTGGAATCACAGTCTTGGGGGCTGTGTAGATGGTGCCCTGCGGGAGTACATTGTTCTTCCAAGCTCTGCATTAGTCAAGGTGCCTAAGGAGACTAAGCTGAGCTACTCCCAGCTATCGGCGCTGGTCTGCACTGGAACAACTGCTTGGAATTCTCTCTATGGCAACATAGCTCTCAAGCCTGGCCAGACTGTCTTATTTCTTGGTAATTATATTCAATCCCACTTGCCCTGAAGAATACATCAAAGACCTGACTTGCCACCCAGGAACTGGTGGTGTTTCCATTACCGGCCTCATCCTCGCCAAAGCAGCCGGAGCAACCACCATCATCACTTCTTCCTCAGACTCGAAGTTGCAACACGTGAAGGGGACCTACGGCCCTGATCATGTGATCAACTATAAGAAGACCCCAAAGTGGTCGGAGGATGTCTTAAGGATTACAGAGGGCCATGGCGCCGACTACGTATTTGAGAATGGCGGTGCTGGTACGATTGCCGAGAGCATCAATGCCGTGGCGTACGGGGGGTCCATCGCCGTGATTGGATTCCTTGCGTCATGCCCGCAGGAAAAGATGCCTGACGTCGCAGCACTCGCCTTGTCCAAAGGCGCGATTGTGCGAGGTATCATGGTGGGATCGCGGCAGCACTTGGAGGAAGTCACCCGTTACGTTGTCACCCGTCAATTGCAGGTTCCTGTCGAGAGGGAGTTCGGATCCAGTAGAGACGAGATCATCGCTGCCTTTGAGTATCTCACCAGCGGCACTCATATCGGCAAGGTCTGCATCAAGATGGCTTGAATTTTGTGCTGCACTCGTTTTGATACAAAATCACAAGTCGTCTTGGCTCCTCCTGGTTGAATCAAAAAAAGATTTCGAGTTCGGGAAGAATTGAGGCCCATTCTGCACGTTAGTCCTCCAACAATAACGGTTCTCGTAATGAATCATGTCGACGTCAGACGTTAATTTCCGCCCTGCTAATGCACATTCAGCCACAGACTGTAAGAGATCCTCATACCTATCAGTTAGCGTCCGCTGTGGCCGTAAATCCAGCTCCACAGAATTGGTGGGCCTTGGAGCCAACAAGATTCAAGAACGTCTCTAAAACTTGCACTCACTGCTTTTTACGGTGGAAGATTTTGTTGTAGAGAAGACTTCGAATATAATCAAGGCACCTTACGCCCAGCTGTGCACGTGAAGGTATCGCGAAGAGGTGTCACGGAAAGAATGGTTCATGAGTGTTACTGATATCTAGAGAGGGAATGAGGTGTTAAAATTACCTTAGATGACTTGAGCGAGACACTGAGTTCGGGGTATATGCATGCAAATCTTTCGATAATCCTCATCTGTCAGTCAGGCTCTAGTGCTTTTGGAAATTTTGAACCCTCCTGACACCCGATGTTGGAAGAAGCCGTTGGGGTCATAAGTCTGAGCCACCTTCTCCAAGAAGTCCTGATTATCGCCTCCGTACGACTGAAGTGGGTCCTGTGTCTGGTGTGCGTAGTTGATGTACTTGAAGATTGTGCTTTGTCCTGTCCTTGCAGCATGCTCAGAAATCTCATCTATGACTGCCTCAAACTTTCCCGTCAACAATGCCTCGTCATTTGGGGTTGGAAGCAAGCACTCGACTTGAAGCACGACGGATGGCTCTGTCAGCTCTTCGTTTAATCCGAGGATATTAGGCCCGTTGTTAGCATAGTTGGTTGAGAGGGGAGTCATCACAAATATTATCGTGGCATTCTCGTCGAGTTTTCCCTCCAGGTCCGCGATGAGAGCCTCGAAAACTTCAAGAACTTTCCTGCCCATCTCCATGGTTGCGTGGAAGCTCTGCGTAAACCACACATTGTACAAACCGAGTGTGCCTTGGAGCTGCTTGACGAATTCTGAGTTCGGGACCGCCGATCTGGTGTCAATAAGAGGCCCCAAGTCCGCGAGTCCGGCGAAGGAGGACGATTTGCTGACGCCATCAACGTTGGCGGTAATGAAGGCGACTGAAGGATCTCGCCCAGGACCCCATGACAAGGAAACAAATCCGCTCTCGGCAGGATTTTCCTCGTTCTCTCTGACCATAGTGATGAAGCTTTTCACGACGGGTTCCTTGTCTGTATATGCGAATGCGACGATACCACCGTAAATGTCATTTGCAGGGAAAGTTCGCAGGTCGAACCTTGTCACGACACCAAGATTGTTCATGCCACCTTTCAGAGCCTTGAAGAGGTCCGCATGCGCCGTCGCGTTCGCTTCAATGAGACTACCATTAGCGAGCACCACCTGCGCAAATACGCTGTTAGCACACGATTTGGAACCGCACTCATCAGGAATATCTGTACCTCGTAGTTCAAAACATTGTCGGCGGAAAGGCCGTACTTCGCAGAATACCATGAGAAGCCTACCAATGTTTCAGTCAATTACCTCGTGATTCAGCTGAGATTTCGCCTTACCTCCGCCAAGCAAGAACCCTCCCACACCAACATGACCTTCGCGTCCGCCCGTTGTCATCACCCCTTGTTCCTCGAGGGCAGAGTAGACTTCACTCCAGCGCCCACCGGGGCCGAGCGCTGCGACACCGTGTCCCGGCGAATCAGGATTCTCCATATAGCTAATGGAATTGACGCCACCGAGATCGATGGTAACGCCATTGGCAGCATTATTCGACGGGAATGGTGAGTGGCCACCGCTACGTATGGCCACCGTCCAACAGCCCAAGGCTTCGCTGTTAAGTGACTTGATGGCGTCCGAAACCTGCTGTGAAGTCGTGGGCTTGAGGATACATGAAGGTCGAACGTCTTGAACATCGCCAGAGTAGTAAGACTGAATGGTGACGGCGTACTCCGTGTCGTTCGAAAAGAAAATTTGGCCAGAGAGCCCAGCGCGGATGAGGATATCGCACTGCAAGATGAGTCGGTCAGCATCCTAGTCTCAAGGCCAAGACGTCCACATCTAGAAGCTGACAGACCCCTGTGAGTTGGGATGCAGCATTGGACCGAATGCCGCTAGCAGGTCCAAAAGACGCGGATGCTGCAAATGTTGGAACAAAGAATAGAACCGCTGCAGCGGTGTACCACACCGTTGAAGGCATCACATTCGTTGATGGAAGAGATCTTGGCAAAAACCAAATCAAACGACGTGGCCGATGTCTGTCTTCTTAAGACATCCATCGATCAGCATTCGGTAAACTCATCGGCACCGATGCTCGATCATAATAAGGGCTGTCAAGCGGAGTCATTCGCTTTCGGTTTCCAGCACTTGTCAGTAGCCACGACCTTTCGTAAATCACTGCAATCTATTGGACAGCGTATCTTGCATCGCTGTACGCGTCGTATTTTCTGTTACATTTCCAAAATTCAAATATTGGAAACGGCACAGCAGCTGGGCGAGCTCTGCTGAGCTAGTCCTTCGCGGATTCACTCCGAATGCAGGCAAACATAGACTAAGCCTAATCCGTTTCTTACTGTTGGTTGTTAGATGAAGCGATGCTTCCTTTCCTTTTCATTGGCCACCGCTTGCGTATCCTCGTGGACCAACAGATTCGCCGAGCAGAAATGCTGCGGCGCAGCGGGGACTGGATCCATCCAGACTTTGGGGACATCCTCATTATGCATGTACGGACATTTGCCTGACCAAACATGGACCCAGAGAGGAAGTTTCTCCGGGCCAAACCAACAGTATCAAGTTGACCCGACCTTTTCACCAGAAGAGAGTAAGGCGTAATCTCAACATGGACCTGCTATTGATCAGTGACTATCACGAGTTATGGCACACAGCAATAGGCATACGGAGTATAGTAAAAGTAGCTTAATATATTAAAATAGAAATAAATAAAAAGAAAAGGTCTATATATATAATATTTAAAATAGATATATAATTTAGTACGTAATAAGTACTTTATAAAATACAGTTATTATCCCTATTACGTAATATACCCCCTAATTACTATTACTAGGGAGCGATTATACTTAAAATAAAACCTCTAAATACTCTTATAAAAGCCTAATTTAGTTAAATATAAAAAAAAAAAAATAAGTATAAGGGATACGTATTTTTTAAACTATATTTATTATAAATATATCCCTTTATTTAAAATAAATAAAATCCTAACTTAGAATAGTACGTATTTTATTATTTTTAATATATAAATTACTAAGAGTAAGGCTATTTAGCTACTTTATATATATTTAAATTTTTATAGCGTTACTTAATTATTATTTTTTTTCTTTTTAACCTTTTTATAATTATTATAAATACCCCCGTTTATTATACGTATATACTTATATTATTAAATTATTTATTAATTTTATTTTAAATATAAATATCTAATATATTTAAAAATAATAATAAGTTTTATATAATTTTTATAATACTTCTTATATACGTATTATATAGTTTACTAAGAGTTTAAATAGGTAATAATATTAATAAGCCCCTCTAAGTTATTACCCCCCCCTATAACCTCTTATTTACTTATTAAAACCTAATTACTAAGCTCTCTCTCTCTAGTTAAAAAGATATTAAAATTACTATTTAAAATATTAAGGACTTTATTAAGTTTAAAGCTCTTATTAATAATTATAATAAGGGTAATAATAAAATAAATAATAATAATAAGAGCTTTAAAAAGCTTTTATTTATCCCCCCCTTAAGATTTAAAAATAAAAATAAAAATATTTTAAATATTAAGCCCTTTAAAAAAAGTATATTATATATTATTATTTTAAAAATTCGTTTTTAATAATATTTTAAAATTTAAAAAATATAAGGCTAGCTCTTTTTAAAAAGGTAGTAAAAAATAAAAAAAAAAGTTAAAAAGCTAAGGTACCCCCTATAATAAATATAGTTCTTTTTATTATTCTAAGCTTATTTAATATATACTTAGTCCTTAAAAAGCTTAAAAAAATAGCTTTTAAAAAATAGTTAGTATAATATATACTCTATTTTTAAGTAGCCCTCCGGTTTATTAACCCTAAAAATAGTAATTATTATTTTATAAAAAGTAATAACTAATATACGTACTATTTTAATAACTATTTAACCGAGGAGTATATTAATATATTAGTTATTATATAATTAATAACCTAGGCCCTTATTAAAACTATTATAAATAGCGCTCCTTTTATTATAAATATATTATCTTTTTTTATTATTAAAAAGCGTACTCTTAATTATAGTTTTAATAAAAAATTAATAAGCTCCGTATTATTATTTATTATATAAAAAATAATAAAAAGATATATAAAAACTATATTAAGTTCTATATAAAAAACTTCTTCCCTACACACCCCCTACTCCTTTTTTTAAGTATATTTATATTATTAATTATACTTATTATAATTATTTATAACTAGCCTCTTATTATACTACCCGCTCTTATACCCTAAATTATTAACTTAATAGTTATTCTATTCCTTACTATTTTTAGTTTTATAAATTTTAAAGTATATAAAGTATAGTTCTTAGTACGTATACTTACCCTCTTTATTAATAACGCTATAATTTTAATAATTACATATTTTATAAACTAAGAGTTTAAATAATAAGTATAAACTTAGGTTTTATTTTTATATATATATACCTTACGGAGTAAAGTTATTTTAAGAGTTTAGGCCTTTAAGCTAAGAAAAGTTTTATTTTATTTATTTTAAACCTCTAGGCTATATTCTAAGTTCTATTTATTATTTATTTTTAAATATTAAGTTTTTTTAAGTATAGTCTAAATTAATTATTTCTAATTATTTTAACTATTTATAATAACTTTTTACGTATTATAAAAGTTAAAAAATATATAAAAATATTCGAACTTAGCTCGTAAAAAGTTTTTAATAAGTCTATTTACTAATATATTTTTTATTAATATATAAATAACCTCGAAGCTATTTTTAATATACTCTTATTTTAGCTATATATTTTATATATTAATATAGTAAAGTTAAGTAACTATTCTTTCCCCTTCTTTTATAATAAATCGAATTATTTATTAATTATTATAATTAACTAACTATATTTCTCTTAAGTTAAAAGTAATATTTTTAAAAAAGCGCTTTAAAATTATAATCTCTTTTATAATTTTTTTAAAATAAAAAAGCTTAGCTTTAGTAATTAACGTTATAACTATTACTTAGTATACTAATTTCTATTAAATTAAGCTATTAAAAAAGAATATTATATATCCCTAAGATAATTATTATATTACTTTGTTCTTTATAAAGCTAGTATCTCTAATTAAAAATAATAATTACGTACTTAGTATATTATTATAATAGAGCGTAAAATATCTTATTATATAAAAATATTAAATATAATAGTTAATTATTTTAATATTAGTTATACTTAGGTTAGTTAAGAACTATAATAATTATAAGTAAGTAAAAGCGATATTTAGTTTAATTATAATAGCTATATAAAGTATATTTTTAACTTTTTCTTAGTAACTTTTTATTTCCTCTTTTATTACTTACCCCTCGTTTAGTTTAAATTTATTTTAAAGAAGGGGGGTTATTAAATATAATAAATTTATAAAATTAAAACGCTTAATAACTCGCTTAATATATATATTATAAATAAAATAAACTTTATAAGTAATATAGTCTCGTAAAATCCGTACTCTAAAAAAGTAATTAGTTAGTCCATTCTTTTTAAAGTTAATATATTCTTTTATATTATTAACGATTCCCTAAGCTATTTTTTAGTCGTCTTAATAATATAAAATAATAAAATCGTTAATATAAAATACTAATATTATTTTCCTATTTATAATTTAGTAAATATAAATCTCCTCGTAGTTATATATTATATTTATATTATAAAATATAAAAATAAAAATTTAAAACTAAAGAATTAGTAAATTTTAGAGGCTATATAAAGCATATTAAAGTTTACTTATTTTATTAATAACCTTATATCCCTTTAAAAGTTTAATAATTATTAATTTCTTACTCTTAAAAAGCGTATTAAGGAATACGTTAATAATATTATACTAATTAGCTTTAAAATTAAATTAAGTAGTTATTATTATTATAAGCCTAAAAGCTTTTATAATAAGCGTTAAAATATACGTATTTTATAAAGGGTTAAGTAATTATATATTCCCCCTTATATATATACGTACTTTTACTTCGCAAACCTTATTATTAGCGTCGTACTTATAAATATATACCTACTTTAATAGAAATAAGATCCCTTATTTAAGATTATAATTAACTTCTTTTTATATACTAATATCCCTTAGCTTTTTTATTTTTATATTTATAATATTCCTAAATAGTTTTTATAGTTATTATAAGAAATATTTAATATTACTAAACTTCTTTAATAAGTTTTAAAAATTAATTTTAATAAGTTATAGTTTTTAAACTCCTTTAGAGCGCTCTAAATAGGTCTTATAAACTACTTTTTTTATTACTTAATAAAATATTATATATCCTATACTACTTTTTTTTATAACTTTTTATTAATTAAGTATAAAAATAAAAAAAAGCAGTCCTAGTAGTAGTTATAATAATTATTATTTTTTATATTTAAATATAAAAACGTTATAAAAATATTATTATTAAAGCGTTATAAAAGTCTACGGGCCTAGTTTAAATATTTAAAACCTAATAGAGCTTTACTTAGTACTTAATAAAGTAGTTTTTATAAGCTCTATTCTTATATAGTAATAGAGGTTTATTATAAAAGTTCCTTATTAACGTTAATTTTAATATTAAGAATTATTTCTTTATAATTAGTACTTTATTTACTACGTATTTTAACGTTTTATTAAGAGCTATTAAGAATTAAAAGTTTAAAAACTTTTATAATATATATAAGCGCTCGTAAAAAAGATTATAAATTACGTAAAGCTATTTATAACCTAGTTATTATATCCCTTTTTTTACCCCTATTCCTAAGCTTATATAAGGGGGTTATTTTAGGGGTTAATAATAATAATAAAACTATATTAACCTCTTTAGCCTTATTAACTATATTTTAAAATACGTTTATTAGTTACTTAGCGTTTTAAATAGTTAAAAATCTAATAGTAATACTATCCTTAACTATAGAATTATTTTAAATATTAGTATTTCTAAAGTCTAGATCTACTTC